TGAGACTTCAGGAGAAAAAAATCAACCTGGGAGAAGCGATCACACTCCAGCGGCAACGTCCTTATCTACGACCTACTACATCTAGAAGGACGATGAAGAAAAGAGAGGAAAATGGATGTTTATTATTTATAAACTTGAATAGCGCCTCCTAACGTAAGTTTTTCGCGAAGACACGTGGGTTTATCCGCTCACACACAATCTGAATTCAATTGAAATGGATGTCTGTTCAGCAATATTGTCTTATGTCTGGCAACAACATCTAGGTAACAGGAAAAGTGTATAGTTATTTTTTTCGCAAGCCCACGTTACTATACTACGTGACACAAGATAAAGGTTCAATGAGAGAAACTGGTCAAAAATTGCTTAAGACTCCTCGGCACTTTCTCATTCCAAGGGTAGGTACTGGCTGATATTAACTACGAACACGGCCACAATGCGTTGACCGTTTTCGAAAAAATACCCCCCCCTATAACTCCATAACACACAAACCATACATTCAGTTAAGAAGTAAAAATAAAATCATCCTTAACAATCGCTAAATGTATAGCCGAGAGCACTCGGAATTACAAAACATTTGGAAGTTTCTACACATTCTGTACCCAGAAAAGAAAACACTTGTTGGAATACAAGAAAAATTAAATAAAAAGCTTGATGACATTACCTTGTATGTCGTCTTTAATGAAATATGTATAAATGAAAGTTTGCTATCTAAATACAATATATAATATATATATATATATATATATATATATATATATATATATATATATATATATATATATATACGGAAGAGAGGGAAAGATTTGTATAGGTATTGTAATACTAAATTTATTCAGACATCGCGAGATTAATAGAAATTACCATTTGACACTACCGTGGGCAGACATTTGGCCGACGGACATATGGCCGACGGACATTTGGCCGAATCAGACTAATAATTACTACTGGATTTCAAATGATTAAATTACTAACTCCAAATTTGAACAGATTTCTTATTTCGATATTTGTTTATTAAATTAGTAGTATTTTTAAAATATCAGAATATATTTGGGTAAAAAGTAGCACCTAATTATTTAAATTCTTAATTAACAGTAAGATAAAAGCTCGTTCATACCTTTAAGATAACAATCATTAAAAGCGAAATTGAAAGATCTTTAATATCGTAAAAGCTTAAGATGTTTGCATAGTAAAATGTGCTTTTTCTTAAAATACTTATCATCTTGCAGTAATATTTGAAGTTAAGTATAATATATACAGAATAGAATTAAAAAAATCCTCTCTAAAAACAAAACAAAAAAGAAACGAAAAATTATAAATTAATTAATACAGAAATAAATATGTAGCACATTACGATAAAGTGTGTGACATACATGTAAGTACGCCACTATATTTTCGGCTAAATGCCCATTCGGTTAAATGTCCGAGTACTCGACGCTAAAATCACAAGAGATACTCAAAACTGTGGCATTTAGTTTCCAGACGTTTATTAGTAAGACGAACTACTGCTTGGACAACGTTGACAAAAGTGTCCACTGAGTTATCTAACTAAGTATTTTCCATTTCTTGTCTTAGGTCCGCAAGTGTAGTCAGTTCTCTGCGATACACAACCTCCTTTAGGGCCCGAATATAGGTAAAAGTCTTAAAACTATGAAAGACAAGTTTTTTTTTTTCTTTCCTGAAGTGTGTATACATTTTTGGGGAAGACACCGTATATATCAGCACGCAAGAATGTATCGTCATACGAGCCATGTTGTTGAAAGACGGCAATACAGGACACTGTCCAGTTGAAACTGGCGAAAAGCTTTGTCCTTGGTTTTTCTTCAACTAATGACCGGATCAAAGAACGGATAAAGAAAGGCGGTGGAAAACACTAACCCCCTTCTACCTTACACGATCAACGATTCCCTTAATTTTAAGCGCTTTAATCTATCCCTCATCTTCTTATCTCGACGGCTACAGTGCGTATTTATTTAACTCTGTTAACACAGACTTTCACACATTCACTTTCTACTAAACGATAGCCACTTTAGAATTTCGCCAGCGGTATAAAAAACTGCGTGTCTCTGTCCAAATGTACTGACCTGTCCGCACATTATCCTACCCTCGAGCCTTGCGAATGGTCGGGGTTGGAGAGTGACTCATGTATTTAGTCCTCTGTCCTCTTTAGTGTCACTATTTAAAATGTAGGGGAGAAAAAATAAGACGAAAAGGAACGTTTACAAGTAATGAAACAGACAGTGAAGATTTGTTCTCGGCTTAATTCTTATCACATGGAGTCACTTTGATGATCTTTTCTTTTCAAATAATGCCACACGACTCTAACTCCCACAGACCTCCTCAGTTTCTTTTCTTTGTACATTTTATTTTATGTTTCTTTCCTTTTCCTGGTTCATTTTTCTTTCTTTCTATGTCCAAATCTTTTTTGTTAAGGGGTCCACGCCTTTTTATACAAGTCGACTCGCTCAGTGTGTACTTGTACTACTAATGGTGAATACCCGGAAGGGATACAGTGAGTGAGTGAGACTGTGAGGTAACCACTTTGTAGGAGTCACAGTTGCGAGCACGTAGACTCAGAAGGATGTCATACTTCAATACTGAATTTCCCAGACTGTATATATATTATCATTGCTACTAACCGCATTTCTGGATCTGCTAACCGTATTACCAATTGTATTATTACGTCAATACATTTATTTGCTATATTTAATTCCTGCGTTTGTCATTCATTTGAGAGCGGATTTCATCCCGGAATCCACAACATTCTTAAACTTGATTTTTTTTTTGTCATTATTCAAATTCTTTCCTTTATATCGATCTCTCACTACTTTAGATGATTGTGTATGTAACTGGGTGAGTGGTTAGAACGTCGATTTCTGACTATGAAATACGGGTTCGAATCTCACCATGGTCGATTTGTCAGAAAGATGTTATCGGAATTGATCGAGGTCGATTCCAGCGTGCGGCACCTTTCGAAAGTGCCTGAAAACCATACCACAGGTTGACCCAAGCCTTGTGAGTAAAAGTGGATAGACGGAGCTCTTGAGGACCGTCAATAGCTGTGCTAGCGCAAAATCTCAAGTCATCGGGGCCGAGGGCTTGAGCGTGCTGGCCTTATTCAAATTCAAATTGCTGATCACGCTACAAACAAAATGCGCCTGAGCGAGAGTTTGTAATTGGGATTGGCTAACCACCCTAGTAAACGGGTTTCCTCGAATACAAGTGGCCACTATTATTAATTATATATATATATATATATATATATATATATATATATATATATATATAAATAAAAACAGACCATTTAAGTTTCCATGTAATAAATTATTTCACCACAGCCCTTTTAAAAGCACTGCGGATCATCAGACTTTACTTCCAAACAAAAATGAAAAGAAAAACACATTTTTGACGGGCCGTATTAAACATATGTAAATTAACGAAGTGAGGAAGTGAGGGGAGACAGAGAAGACATGAGTGAGTTAGCAGATATTGACACATTTATATCTCCCCCTCACTTCCTCACTTCGTTAATTTACATATGTTTAATACGGCCCGTCAATAAATAAATAAGAAAAAAACAAGTAGCATAAATTAATCCAAATAAATAAACAAATTAACAAACCACCCCGCCAAAATAACAGCTAGAATAGACTACAGCAATCAATCCAAAAATTGGACGAAAAAATATAATTAATTACCTTTCCAGACCGAAACAAAATAAACTAATCCAAAAAAACATCGAAAACCGAAAAGAATATGTAAAATAAAAAATAAAAAAAAATAAAAAAAAAACAAGTAAAATAAATTAAGCAAAATAAATAAACAAACCACTCCCGCTAAAATAACCGTCAGAATGGACTACCTACAATGCACCACTGACTGTCAAGAAAAAAATAAACATCACACGTGATCTGACGAGTGATTCGAGCATGAAACAGATTGTCACCTCTGAGTGTTGACTTCAAAGTTCACTTTTATATATATGTGTGTGTGTGTTTTGTATGTGTGTGTGTGGAAAAGAAAAAGAAAAAACTATCTATTAATTCTAGCAAATAACATTATAACATTATATAACTGCTTAATAGAATTTCTACTAATAATTGTGCTCAGTATAGACTAGAACGAGAATAATAATTAAATTAGAAGTAAAAAATATCCAATACCTATTAAAGTTCAACTCAGATTTCTTTTGTTTTCTGACTTTTCATACACTTGAAATTTTTTGCAACATAGTGACGCGTGTCAAATTCATCAAAGTATTTAATATTGCTGAAGTTATCGCTAACACTTTTGTCGAGATATTCAAACTCTACCTTTCGTTCAATCGCAAACTAATCCGTGAAATTTGAATAAATTCTATTATTTGGAAAATACATTGAGAAAAAGCCTACTTTGCAGTTTAATAATTCATTTACTTTAATTCTATAAGACTTCATGGTAAACAATTTCTTTTTCTCTTTTTTCCTTTTTAACAGCGAAGAATAAATTCTTACGATTTCATCCTCTTGAGCATGCTATATATTATTGGCCATGCGTATATATTTCTTTCTGGGGCTAAATACTTACTTTTTAAAGTGTTTGACCTTGTGATTACGTATAATTCCCGTAAAGAAAAATGTATTCTTGTATATAAAAACTTATGAAAAAATATGTAAGAAACAATATTGAATTTTTTTTTAATACGTGTTTATTTTATTTAATACGTATTTTGTATGTTAGATAATATAACTTTTAATTTTCCCCTCAATATAATGAAAATTTATTGTACTAATCTATGCACTCTAATAAAACAAACTGTATATTGTATCCCCTGTTTGCACTTCTATCTAAAATTTGGTTTCGATCGGCCAATATATGGCTATTTAAGAGGGAGTGAGTGACGAACGTACGGAAGTCACAGAAATTTATATATAGATCTTTTGTTTGTCTTTTAATTTTTTCCATCTCGTTTCTTTGTTTCCATTTCAAAGTCCTTTTTATTCTTTACTTAGTTATTTCTTCAGCCAAACCACAATATTTTTTCTTTCTTTCTTTTTTTTTCTTTCTTTCTTTCTTTTTTCTTTCTTTCTTTCTTTCTTTCTTTCTTTCTTTCTTTCTTTCTTTCTTTGCATTTTCCTTTGTTACTTTCTTTCTTTTTCCAACCAAACCACACATGATACTTTCTTTTTTCTTTATTTCTTCAACCAAATCACATACCTTTCTTTCTTTCTTTCTTTCTTTCTTTATTTATTTATTTATTTATTTATTTATTTATTTTCGTTCTTTCTTTCTTTCTTTTGTCAACCAAATATCTTGTTCTTCATACTTTCTTTCTTTCTTTCTTTATTTCTTTCTTTATTTATTTATTTTCTTCTTTCTTTCTTTATTTATTTATTTCTTTTGTCAACCATATATCTTGTTCTTCTTTCTTTCTTTCTTTCTTTCTTTCTTTCTTTCTTTTGTCGACCAAATATCTTGTTGTTCTTCTTACTTTCTTTCTTTCTTTATTTATTTATTTATTTATTTATTTAATTATTTCCTTCTTTCTTTCTTTTGTCAACCAAATAGCTTGTTCTTCTTCTTACTTTCTTTCTTTTTTTATTTCCTTCTTTCTTTCTTTCTTTCTTTCTTTTGTCAACCAAATAGCTTGTTTTTCTTCTTACTTTCTTTCTTTCTTTCTTTCTGTCTTTCTTTCTTTATTTATTTATTTATTTATTTGTTTCTTTTGTCAACCGAATATCTTATTCTTTCTTTCTTTCTTTTGTCAACCAAATATCTTGTTCTTCTTCTTTCTTTCTTTATTTATTTATTTATTTTGTCAACCGAATATCTCGTTCTTTTTTCTTTCTTTCTTTCTTTCTTTCTTTTGTCGACCAAATATCTTGTTCTTCTTCTTACTTTCTTTCTTTCTTTTTTCTTTCTTTCTTTTGTCGACCAAATATCTTGTTCTTCTTCTTACTTTCTTTCTTTATTTCCTTCTTTCTTTCTTTCTTTTGTTGACCAAATATCTTGTTCTTCTTCTTTGTTTTCTTTCTTTTATTTATTTCCTTTTTTTTTCTTTAAATATCTTTTCTTTTCTTGACCAAATCTTTATTTATTTCCTTCTTTCTTTCTTTCTTTTGTTGACCAAATATCTTGTTCTTCTTCTTACTTTCTTTCTTTATTTATTTCCTTCTTTCTTTCTTTCTTTTATTGACCAAATATCTTGTTCTTCTTCTTACTTTCTTTCTTTATTTATTTCCTTCTTTCTTTTACCAAATATCTTTTCTTCTTTCTTTCTTTCTTTTTTGTTGACCAAATATTTGTTTTTGTTGACCAAATATCTTGTTCTTCTTCTTACTTTCTTTCTTTATTTTGTTTCAAAATTTCATTTTCTTATTGTTTTTGTTTTACCCTGCTTTTAGCCCTAGAAAAATCATTTTAACTCGAAACAAAGACAATAAAACACTCTTTCATGAATGTGAGTGTTCCTAATTCCTTTTCTAAATATCGTTTTGAAATTAATTGAAAATTCAGAAAGAAGAAAATATAAGATGACGAATTGAGACGAAAACCGTAATGCGCATGTCACTCACCTGTAAGCAATGAAACTTCCGCTAAAGCATTTCGAGGGGACAATCATTGTTGCTGATGGGCGAAGACAAGATTACTTCCCTTATCAACAGTATTGCCTAATCTGAAAGAGGCGAAGACAGAAAAATACAAAGTTTGGCTTGGCAAATTACAAACACATTCAACGAAATAAACAAAAACAAGTCACGAAATGCTTTTATTCTTGTGTGGCTTTTTCAATAAATTTCCTTAGACATTAATGAATATAGTTTTCACGCTGACTTCTTATCAGTTTGTGAAAATCTTCATATCTATGTACCGTCGGCCATTTGTCACTAATGGGTGATTTTTATCGACTTGATAAAGTCGAAACCAGCAGATTGGAACAGGAGTTGGTTCCAGTTGCAAATTTCAGTGAAAGAAGATTGCCTTTACGACACCGCATGTAAACCTTTCCCTTTCGGCGAAAAAAAAAATCAGTCGTTCAATTACAAGATGAAAGAAATGCAACAACAAATAAAATAAAAACCTCCTCATTTTTTTTCTCCTTCAATTTGACTTTGCTCTACAATTTGTTTCGTTTCTTTTGACCTCGCTTCTCTGTTCACCTTACTCCTCTTCCTTATTTAACACTTCCTCCATTTTCTTCTTCGTTACCGTCTTGTTTTTCTCTTTCTCAAACTCCTTAAACCTCCTCTCACATCGATTTGTTTTTCCTTTCTCTCCTCTACTCTTTCTTCTTATTTTCTCGTCCTCCATATTCTTTTCATCATCATCATCATCATCATCATCATCATCATCATCACTACTACCACTACTACCACTACCACTACCACTACCACCACCACTACTACTACTACTACCACCACCACCACCATCGTTATCCTCTTCCTTTTCTTTTTTCTTTTACCTTTCGCTTCTTTTTCTTCTTTCTCCTCATATCAAGTCGTGTTTTTTCTGCTTCTTAATTGTATTCTTCTCGCTCTCTTCACCGTCAGCTGATCGCCTTTCTTTCGTTGTCTTTTTTTCGTTTTTCTTTCTTTTTCTTTCTTTCTTTTTCTCTTTCTTTATTCCTTTCCTTTTTCTTTCTTTTTTTCTTTTTCTCGCTTTCTTTCTTTTTCTTTCTTTTACTCTCTCTCTCTCTTCCATTCTTTCTTTTATACTACTTCTTCATATCTACAATTACTCTTTCTTTCTATCTTTTCTTTCATTATTCTTTCTTTTTCTGTTCTTATTATTCATAACCTTATACTACATTTCTTCTTTTTCTTCTTCTTCTTCTTCTTCTTCTTCTTCTTATTATTATTATTATTATTATTAGTAGTAGTAGTAGTAGTAGTAGTAGTAGTAATTGTAGTAGTAGTCATATTTAACTTTTTAAGTTTCATTTTCTTGTTTTTCTCCTTCTCATTCTTCACCATTTTCTGCGTTTCAGTTTATCTTCTTTCTTTCACCTTTTACCTCTTAATTTTCTACTTCATCTTCCTCTAATTATTATTATTATTACTATTAGTAGTAGTATGCTCTATGATAATCTCTTACTACTCTCTCCTTTTTATTTTGATCTTCTTCTTCTTCTTCTATAATAATTTCCATAATAATTATCATCGCAACAGATGTGTTGATAGATATGTAACGATTCGTGTCTCTGATTTTCCTTTATTATTCTTGTCGAATCTGGCAACCCCTCCCCGTTAATGTTTTTGCACACACACTGATAATCAGCAAATATCTATTTCATCTTTTCCTTTCCCCCAGTTCTGCTAGCTCTTATATCACCATCCTTCTTTTTCTATCACTCTCTTTCACACAAACAAATGAGCGGAAAATAGGTTTCATGCCTTTATTCAATGTCTTTGTGCTTTTTCATTCTTCAGTGCCTTCACCATACACGCATTTCCTTCGGTTCGTTCCTTTTCTGTATAGATTTTATCATTTGATAACAGTTTCGGTCGCATCACTATTTCCCTCACCTCTCTCTTTCCGGTTAATGGGGGCACGATCGTTACAAAGCGATTTGCCCCAATTAGGGGACTGGATATGTATTTTAGTTTTGATTAATTTTAAATATTTCTCTACGCCACGTTTTTCTGTCTCTATTTATCCCACACATAGGTATATAGTATATTCCGGCTAATATGGGCAACAATCGTTACAAAGCGATTTGCCCCAATAATTTGGCTGAATGTATATTAAAATAGAGAAAGAAAGAGAGAGAGAGAGAGAGAGAGAGAGAGATTACTGTCATATTCCAGCAACTAAAAATGGTTTTTGAACAAAATTAATTACCCCATTTGTTTTGATTATATTTATTTTAGTTTTTTACGGTTTATCAAACTTTTTGCAGATTATTTAATGCCAGATAAATATTTGTTGTATTCACTTACGCGCAAATATCTTGGGCGAAGATATGTATCCATTTCTTGTCACCCAGATATGGATTGAATTGCAGGACAGACTAAGTTCTATAGCTATGGTTGACAACAAGTCTACCGCAAATTTTCTGGCTTTAAATAACCTGCAACTAGTTTTTCGGTCATAAAAAACAAATTAATCAATCTTGGCCTTTGCATTCGGTGAAGAATAGTGAAAAAGGAGACATGGTTTGTTGAATGTGACCAAAGACCGGGAGATATACATCTAACATTTTTTACTTAGCAGTCAGCTAAGTAAGAAGTATGCCGTCTGGCTTCAAACGTACAATATATCATAGAATACGAAATTCTTACCGAAGTTAAGCAACATCGAGCATTGTCAGTACCTAGATGGGTGACCGTTTGGTGTTATCAGGTATTGTAAGATTGGATGTGCGGGTGGTGCAATGGATAATGGCTCGGAATTGTTAATCGGAGAGTCGAGTTCTAATTCCCGTTATAATCTAAAAATATTTTCTAGCTTTAAATATCCTGAAAAAAAGGTTGACAAGTCGTATAAACTAATGAGTGAATCTGCGTGAAGAATAGTGAAAAAAAAATGAAAAAAAAAAATGAAAATATTTCTTTCACCGTCACATTCAAAAAAAAACATGCAGAAAAGTTATTTAAATAAGAGAAACTATATACAAGGTTTGAAAATAAAGTATTGGGTCTGTTGTTGTGGCAACGGAGATAAAGAATTATTTACACTGCTCTCCCCACCGAGACGGGATGTGACACAAGGCCGGGTTTAACGTGGGGAACACGAGCGCGTACTCCTAGGCCAAGAACAAAAAATTGCAACGACAAGATGCACGAAATGCAAAAATGTATTGATTTTAGTTAAACACACACAAGCAAACACACACACACACACACACACACACACACACACACACACATATATATATATATATATATATATATATATATATATATATATATATATATATATATATATATATATATATATATATTCAGATACAGGGTTGGACAAAATAATTGTAACAGTTGCAAATTCCATTCCTATATTTCCAAGACCTATTATATTAAGAACTTTAACTAAAACTTCGTAATTGCAGGCTATATCTATTGTAAATACGTTTATTTATCTAATTTACGGTCTTTGTCTTATTTATTTTTAGAATTAGGTAAAATGTAAGCTAAATGCGTGACCTCTCCGAGTTCGAAAAAGAGTAAATTGTTGGAGCTTGAATAGCAGGAACCTCGATCACTAAGTTTGCTGAACTGTTTGGTTTTTCACGGGCTACCATATCAAGAACACTGATGCAATTCGAGAAACAGGGCAAGACCTCTAACAACCATAGCAATTCGGGCCGGACTTGCAAACTTACTGACAGGGACTGACGTGCATTGAAACGCAATGTGGAAAAAATAATCGGACAAATGCGGCCAAAGTGACTTCTGAGTTGAATAACCATCTGAATAGTTCAGTTTCTACTAAAACTGTTCACCGTAAGCTCCATAAGGCTGCATAGCATGGAAGAGCCGCTGTGAGGAAAACTCTTCTCTCCACTCGCAACATTCAAAAGTGGTTGAAGTGGTGCAGAGATCACAATGTCTGGTCTGCAGACGAATGGAAGCAAGTCATATTCTCAAACAAGTCCAGTTTTTCTCTTTTCCCAACTTCAGGGTGAGTTTATGTGTGGAGGCAGCCCAAATAAGTTTACAACCCTGACTGCTTTTTTCCAACAGTGAAGCATGGAGGTGAATCAGTGATAGTTTGGGCCGCCATCTGCATGGTAGAATCAACAGCAAAGTTTACCTGAACATTTTGGGAGATCATGTTCAATCAATGGCCAAGACTTTATTCCATGATGGTGACTGCATCTTCCAAGACGATAATGCTCCAATACATACCGCTCGAGTGGTTAAGAATTGGTATGAAGAGCATAAAAGTGAGCTAGAACATATGGAGTGGCCTCCCCAATCTCAAGATATCAATATTATTGAAGTGCATATTGTGGTGCATTTTGGAGCAACACTTTAGGAGCCACTATCCTCCACCGTTGTGTCGTAAAGAGCTGGAGAAGGTTTTAATGGAAGAATGACTGAAAATTCCTCTGGATGAAGTTAGGAAGCTGTATGATTCCATTCCTAGACGCATTAAAGCTGTCTGTGAGACTAAAGGAGGACCAACTCCATATTAAATAAATTTTCTTTGAATTTAACAAGTGTTCCAATTTTGGCCAACCCCTGTATGTCTCAAATGAATAAGCATCAAAATGTTAATTTTCTTTCTTTCTTGACAAAGGATACTAAGAAACCTGCCCATTATTACGAGAGGATCTTGTTTAAAATCAGTAGACAAAACTTGTCTAAATTATATAATACGACGTGTCTTAATGAAAATATGCAAATATATATATATATATATATATATATATATATATATATATATATATAGAGAGAGAGAGAGAGAGAGAAAGAGAGAGAGAGAGTCATCAATATACAATATGCAACTCTTTTTCTCTGTATCACAGCTCATCAGTGTGGCTAGACATCCGATTGCTTCAAATTCGGATCGAAACTCGACTGATTTGCCATCGATCAGAGATTCTATCCATAAAATATCGACACAAGGCAGAAAAAGAGGAACTTTTAACGTATTATGTACGTGATGTATACAAACACAAGTAGTCAAAAGCGCTCAATTCATAACTGAAGAGCGATGCGTTAATAGCAAGAGCAGACATTGTTTTTAAAATTACCCATTTCATATAATGCTGAATCGGTAAACAAGAACGCACACACACACACACACACACACACACACACACACACACACACACACACACATATATATATATATATATATATATATATATATATATATATATATATATATAAACGCCAAGTTGGCGATAATAACATTTCCAGACCTTTTGAATGAGAGATCGCAAATTATGACTCATTGCATACATACTAAAAAGTTACTTTTGAGTTCATATGAAGTGGGATGGAAAGAAATTATGTATATTTCATTTAACCTCGCCCCATCGATACATTTCTAGTACTCTTGCTTTTCTCCTCCTCTCTTCTACCACACCTCACGTCGTATGCTTATTTATTTATTTTTAAATAATATAGCGTTCATTATTTTTTTAAAGCGTTGACCGAAATAGCTTGAAGTTACCGAAAGTTTGAAACCAAGGCAGCGAAATCGACTGATTTCCTTATTTTTCTGTACTTAAAAGCTCTACATGTTAAATTTGGATTTTTTATACGTGTATTGAGCACTTTTTAATACTACTGTTCCCTGGTCGAATTCAATTCTGATCATTAAGTTTTTTTTAATATATATTGAAGGCTAGAAGGATAGAGGAATACCTACTTAATGAGCTTGAATAAATGGATGGCGGGACAATGCGTAGGGTAGGTAACAAAAAGACGAAAAATTTTTAAAAGCTACAAAAGACTACAAATTGTGGCGTGCACGATCGCCAACGTCCTGAAGGATCCCGATCCATAAAAGAACAATTTTTTCTTGCTTTTCCCTCTCCTCCTTTTTTTGCAATCTTATTTTACCCCAAAATACGCGTTATATCCTTTTTTCACCCTAAATTGGGTTTATCTCTATCTATAAAAGGCAGGATGTATGTGTGTGCGTGTGTGTGTGCGTGTGTGTGTGTACCGAATGTACGGCGGCAATTTTCGACGGATTTGCTCAAAAATTTACATGCACATGCTCCAAGTTAGCGGGAAGGCCAATACCGACTTTGCATTTCCCAACTCCCATCGGTAATGGAAATAATCGATTTTTTTTCATGCTTCTACGGCAGTTTTCATGTAGTTTGCGTCCATTTTCTACTGGCCAAAATGAGAGCCTATAGCTGGCTGCCACGAATAAGCAGGAAGATTCTATTGGCCAACGTGAGAGCCAACA